CATTCATTCATTCATTCATTCATTCATTCATTCATTCATTCATTCATTCATTCATTCATTCATTCATTCATTCATTCATTCATTCATTCATTCATTCATTCATTCATTCATTCATTCATTCATTCATTCATTCATTCATTCATTCATTCATTCATTCATTCATTCATTCATTCATTCATTCATTCATTCATTCATTCATTCATTCATTCATTCATTCATTCATTCATTCATTCATTCATTCATTCATTCATTCATTCATTCATTCATTCATTCATTCATTCATTCATTCATTCATTCATTCATTCATTCATTCATTCATTCATTCATTCATTCATTCATTCATTCATTCATTCATTCATTCATTCATTCATTCATTCATTCATTCATTCATTCATTCACATTGATATCTATGTTATGATGGATTTGATACTTTTCTTGTTCACTTATCTTCATTTCCAGTCTGATAGCATGAACTTCTGTCTGTTTTCCTGAGCTTTTTCAAGTTTCATAATTTTATAGCAGCTCCTTATTTCCGACAATTATTTTTGCGTATCTTTTGGTTTTGCTTTTTCCTATTTTGATTGTTGTAAATTTTAAACATAACAATAAGGCAGCTGTATTATTCTCTTTTCAATTTTTCTTTTAACATATGAAAACTAATGGTCTTCTAACTTTAATGAATTTGAATTTTCATCGGCAAAACAGCTCTAGCATTATTGCCTGTTTTTTTACTTTTAGTTTAACTATTGAGAATTGAAATTTCGATATAAGAGCCATAGCATAGTTTCAAAACTCTTTACAGACCAGCGATGCAAAATGGTCGGTCGCAACGAGCAGGGTTCGAACCTGCGAGGGCAGAGCCCACTGGATTTCAAGTCCAACTCCTTAACCACTCGGACATCGCTGCACGACAGGCGATTCTCGAGTAAACTAGATTTTATTCCTAGATTCATCTGGATTCGTAAATTAATTTTTTAGATTGAATGCTTTGAAGTAAAGCCATGTTAAATGATTGCAACAAATTGGCGAATTTATGAAACTATTTTATATTTGTTAATAAAAATGTGGACTTTTAATCTGTGGAGAAAAACCGAATTGAATATGCCGATGTGACACTGTGTTTATTTTTTATTGGATATTCTTTGGGCAAATGTTTCAGTCTCATACATTCCATTTTTTGCACACTGTTTCAGTTTGTTAATAAAGGATATATTGAAATTTGGTACCGATTAGATTGTTTATCAACTGTTTTTTGACTTTTCACTATGAATTATATTTGAATATTTGAATTTGAAATGATTAATAGTTTTTCGTTAACTGACTTTTGCGAATGATACATAAGTATTAATCTGTATCAATAATATATTGGTAATTTTATCTACAAAAATAAAAGAGAAAGAAAAATAGATATAAATGAATGAATATGAATGATAATGTAGTAACAGCTTAATTAAAGTTTGTTGTTCCTCAAGAATAGATGCTATTCTTTATATAGTAAGCATTAATTTATACAAGACTAAATACAATGCCATGAAGAAGAACTGTTAGCCAAATCAAATTTGATTATAATTTACAGTTAGTAAGAAACCGACAAACAAGAATAAAAAAAATTAAATAAATAAGAGCCAGTAATTGTAAGCAATTTGATTAGGGGAAAATTCCAATGCACATTCTTCGTTAACAAACTGTAATAGTGTAAATAAGCTCAATTACAATTAAAAAATGAATATTGAATAAATGATTCTCCATGTGGGATTGAAATATTTGTTTAAGGAATGTTCAAATAAGACAATTTATAGTTCTATTAATTTAATACAATTTTATTCCTGTATATTAATACGATTATCTTTCACATATCATATTTTTCCCAACGAATTCTGTGAAGTTATTCTAAGTCAAATTTATAAAATTATTCTGAAATACATGTATGAAAATACTGACCATTTTTCCAATAAAACTATTTTAGATAAAATTTACATTTCTTTATCAAATATTTGTGTAAGGAAATACCTTTTTAATGTCTTTTTTTATATTTTTGTTTCGAAATTTCATAATTTTTTAAAATCTTTTCTTTTTTAAATAAGAAAAACTGCTAATAATATTAATGCAGAAATTCATCCCTTATTTTAATTTAATAATTTTTTTAAAGCAATTTAAACCTTCTAAATTATCATTTATATACGGAAGTAAGAAATCCCATTTGTACATAGTCAATATAATATTGTAGACTTTATATGATCAATTCATTTTAAATAATATTAAATTACTTTTCATCCAATATCTTTGTAAAAAATTAAATTTTTATTCCATAGAAAAAAATCTTGTTCGTTTAAAATTTTTCAGCTAAAATCATGTTTTTTAATTAGCTTAGTTAAAATTAAAACCTTGAATATTTAAATTTTTTTATTAATCAATTATTTGTTTATTATGAAAAGTTTTAATATCTCGGTGGATTTATGTTAAATGAACGGTTAAGAAAATTTCTTTCATGCTACATTGATATTGTTTTTATACAATCATGCTTTATTAAACTGTTTCATGTTGCTATGGCAACTATTGAAAAATAATTTTTATTTCCATTATAAATTTTTTCTTAACTTATTCTTTTTTCCTTTCCCTTCCTTATTATTAGTTCAACTATTTCTTAAATAACATTTTAATTTCCTCAGAATAATACGAAATACACTTTTAACAAGTACGCAATCTTTAAAGCATTCTTTGAGTTTTTTTCCCTTTTTTAATTTCTGAAATGATTTGAGAATATCTATTTATATTACACAATGATAGGAAAAGTTGAATTTTTCAAAATTTCATTCATATCTATGCTACAATAGTTACATGAAGCATGATTTCATATTTGAAATGACTGTAAATAAATCTAGATATTCTTAATTTTTCTGAAAAAAAGTTGTTTTTTTTTTTTTTTAATATATTATCAAATGATATTACTTATGATAGAATGTGTAATTTGAAAGGCTTATTTAACTTAAATCAACATAATTTTCCTATCTTATGCAATCAAATGAAACGATATTATTGATCGATAATTTTTAACTAATAATCATATTAAATGATAGTGTTGCAAAACATTAGTGATTGCCTTTTTATGGACTATTCATGAATGAATGAATGTTTTTTTTTTAAAAAAAATTAGATAATGCATTTGAGCAAACACCGAATAAATCTATTAATCATTTTAAAGTTTCACAAGAAAAATGGAAAAAAACATTTAATCTAACTATATAAATTGAAATTCATTTAAAGTAAATACTATAATACTATTGAACAAAACAAAAGCAAAAACAAATTAAAAAACACCGGACAGTTTTCTATTATTAATTTTAAGTTAAAATCAAATTTCATTTCATATGTTTGAAAATTGATCGATATCAAAATATATTTCCGTTTTTTCGTCTTTTTGAACTTTTCATCATTTATTCATTTAAATTTCCAGAAAAATAAAATGTGATTTTAGTTTTTCCTCATCTAAAAACAAAATTATGGTCTCGATAAGATATTAAAATAGAGCCTCATACAAATGATTTTTTATTGTGGAATCAATATTGCAAGTGATACTTTGTGGTGGAATCAATATCAATATTTTATTTGCAACAAGAAAGGAAGGAGTACCGTGCCACTTCACTTATTTTTCTTGTCATTTTATCTTAATCATTTTATTTGTTGTCACACTTTGGTATGTTCACATTTTTGTCAATTATTTAGTGATTACGATGTAGGAATGATAAATCTTATACACAAATTTTACGTTCTTCTTAAATTTATAAAGTTTACAGCAATATCTTCTACAGTATACATGAATTACAATATATTGATATGACATAATGGTAAATATGACGGAATACAGGAAATTAGCGGTCTCTAATGCCATACGAATAGTATTACTATTATTGCAATCATAAGATAAAAATGTATTCCATTGTCCGAAAAAGAGGGATGTGCTTTCCTATAACACTTCTAAAACTGAAAACTCAAAATTATCTTTGAGTAAACTTCAAATAATTGTAGTTTTATCAACTGAAATGTTGCGATTTCATTAGACTTTCTGCAAAAACCGATTTCTTACTTTCAACAATCTGTGAATTTCATCCTCCATCAATAACATCAAGCAAGGAGCGAACGAAAACTATACTAACAGAATCACAAGAACCAGTAAGCGCAATCAGTACTGCAAGATATTTACAATTCTTGGAACTGAGTTCGGAAATTTTCCAAACATCCGTCAATAAATATATCTAAACTATAATGGCTAGCAAACAACAGATAAAGGAAGCATTACAGAAAGCCAAAATTATGCTATATTGTTATTCAAATAGACTGTAATTTCAATGCAGTAATAAATGAATTAAACATAAATTTGTAAAACAATAAAATAGCTGAAAACAGTGTTCATATTCTAGTCAAAAATTAATAAAATATGTCATATGTTACATATGCTAATTGTAAGTATTCCATGATATTTTATGGCCTTTCTTTTTCTTCCATCGTCCGTTTCCCTTTATAATTTCTGCCAAATGTTTCGCACATTCACCAGGGACTGAGGTTGATTTCCCGCAACTCATCATCTCAATAATATACACTTATAAAGATATAGACACAAAATACAAGCATCACAATTCTTTCAAATGTTGCATTCTTTCAGGATACCAATCAAAATATCTCCTAAATACTTCAAAAAAACTTGCGGATATTTTCAAGAAACCTTTAAGCATGCATTTTGAGCTGTTAATATTGTACTCCCTCCAACATGCTACAGGAAATATACAAATCACCAAGCTCAGTTTTTTTCCATTGCAGTTAAACACATATTACTAGACATAACCTGAGCAACATTCCATAATGCGGAAATGGATCAATTAATAAAGTGCCTTATTATTAAAAGTCTTCTGGATAAATAATAGGAAGAAAACTTAGGAATATTGAAAAAAAGAATATCTGATTTATACACATATATAAATCAAACCTGTCCAGTTGCAATAAATATGGCTGCAACAATATTAGCTACATGTGCATTTCAACCACCAATATACCAGCCATGGAAGAATCAATCAACAGTTTTGCTTAATCGTCCTAATCGTACCAGTGCATCAACGAGTACAACGAGTACATATTATACCAGTACATATTTTAAGACAGTACCACTTCAGCTCAAATTACTGCCTCAGCAGCCACCGATTTCCCACATGCTTTAATCCTGCAAAACTCACGAATTGGCAGTTGCAGAATTGACAAAGAAAAAAATATAATCATGAAACAGTAGAAAATTAATGGCATAAAATAATTACAAGTAAAAAAAAAAGTAAGCAATTAATCGCGCTAAATTTTTTGTCTGCACAGTAATTTCCATATTATGACAATACCTCCATTTCAGGACATTTCTGTTTTAGATATGATAATACTGCATTTGCATCTCTGTAACATTGAATATGTTGCAGTATTAAGTAGAAGTTTTGGAAAGTAGCGGATCATTCTTTCTCTTTTCGTAAACAAAATAAGCGCTATGCTAGTTTTCTCATTGATCAATCATAAAAAAAAATTTTGCTTACTATTTTCACTTATAAAAAAGCAAAAAAAAAAGATGCACAAAAGTACAGAAAACTTATTTTGAAACCATATTCATATCCATCGCATCAGTTGTTTTAGCTTCAAATCTTATAAATAACAGACGACCAGTGATTCTATTTCAAGTCTTCGAAACAAAATAAGCGCTATGCTAATTTTCTAGTTTCCAAACATCAAAACAACAAACATTCAATTCATTCCATCTATCATTCGCACAAGTCACCATAACTTTATCTGCTTGTTGAACCAAAAATAGCTTTAATTTGCTCGAAATTAGAAAAACTTTGCTGAAAAGATGTGTTTAAGTAATAAGTTTAACAAAGAACCATGCTTTAATTTAATTACCATCGCTACTCCTAAATGCAGAAAAATGCAGAACTGAAATTATGATAGAAATAAATGAAACTCAGATCACCATGATCTCACGCGCTTACAGCGTTCTAGTGACATTTGCAAACTGAGCAAAACGCACGCGTCATCCGTCCCTATTCATCCGAATAGTTAGGAATCAAATGTTCTATTTAAAGTCAATTTAAAGAAAAATGCAACATAAATTGTCGTGAAAAAATTTGAAGATTTAGAAATATTATTTTCTGGGAGATATCGTTGATTTCGAGGATATTCGCTGGATAAGTGGAATAGCAGAGGAATACAATAATTTTTTTATTAGCAGAGATAATACAATAATTTGATAAAGAAGAATCGTAGTTGTATCACAAACTTGTCGATACCACAAAACTTGTCAAGAACGAATCTTTCGTTTCCTTTACCAAACTTGCCGAAGGTGAAGACTCGTTGACCTATCTTTGTTCTTAGACCAAACAAACTATCCTTTTTGGCATTTGGTGAAAACAATGCCGCCTTATTGGTGATGCAAAATAATGACGTTTTATTAGTCTATAGCAAGCAATATGAAAAAATAAATATATGTAATAGATAAAAAAATTATATGATACTCGGCTGAAGAGTAATCGGTCTTAAAACAAAAGGTTTAACATTACTTGTAAAATTTCATATGATGTATTCCTTACTCTCATATAGTAATTTAGTGTTTCGCGACAATAATAATTATATTAAAATATATGATTTATCAAAATACGGTTAAATAGAAATAGAAGTTAGATAGAAAATGATGAGGAAGTGTGATGAAGCAGGTATGTAAAAAATGCAATTCACTCTGTGGAAATTAGGTCAGGAATGCCAGAGATTATATCAAAGTTCAATTGAAAATTGATCCTGAATATCTTATAATTAGAGCTTAAGCTACAGAGGGGAGTGATGGGACTCACAAATCATATATCCAATAAGGATGGTGGACCAATTTTCATAAAAGTGTGTAAAAATAGTCTTTGCACATTTTTATGAAGTTAATTTAGATAATTTAAGGATATTGGAAAATCCAACAGTAGTAACAGATAGAAATTTTATTGAAGACAATCATGTAGCATGTATAAAAGATAGTAAAATCAAATATGAAGCGGTAAAGTGTAGCGGATGACATTAATTAAACCTATGGAAGAGGCTTTTTTGGTTATGTTATTATTAAATCTGTACAGATGGATGATAAAAAAGTGGAAGAAATAATCTCTTATGAACCAAATAGAATAGTAATGTTAGTGTTAACAATTTAATTGAAAAACTTTATCCCGGTATAATTAGGATGATAGAGGAAGAAATCAAAAGGAAATTATTAGGGCTATAGCAAAAGATTCTACCTCTTGTTTTAATAATTAATTAAAATAAAACACTTATAAGTTTGTTGTTTAGGTTTAACTACTGTTTTTTAACGGATAATACGACTTAGTAAGAAGGGGTACTTTATGTCTCCAAAAAGTAAAATTTTTAAGTTAATAGAACAACAATTTAACATTGAATAATATATTTGGTTTACGCCATACATAAGCAGACTGCAAGTGAGCCAATTGACTCTATTACTCTTTATATAGTCGGTAATGGTGATTGTAAGATCAACTATCAAAGTATTACAAGTTCATTCAATATAACGAAACAGAAAATCGACCAAGATAACATTGTATAGAAAATACAAACTAGAAAGTAAAATAAAAAGTAAAGATCGATCAATCACCAAAAGAACAAAGTGAAAGGTCTATTATGCAAGTTTCAGATTCACCCGCTGAAGATATGTTAAGAAGTTTCTATGAGGCAGTGTAATACTCAGTACAGGAGAGCAACTTTCTGGAGTGTGAAGAACCTTGTACTTCATACGAGGAACTACAGATGCTACAGAAGATTCAGAAACTACTGCTGGTCAAGATCCTTTTTAAACCTAGTCAATCACATATAGATGTTTTTTTGTATCCAACTGTAAAAACAAATTTAGAATTTCTTTCTTACTGCCCTGTTTCCTTGTGAAACAAAGTAGCTTCCTTTCTTGATAGTTTAGATCGTTGACTTCTTTGTCTTCCATACTGGTATATTGTCTAGTCTGTACTGGTTCCGTTTTGTGGTAATTTTCAGTCCTTTTCACTTCTATTTCTTTCTTACTATCATCATAATAATTACTTTTAGTTTTTATTCCTGCTTTCCACTATTCTTCTCATTTAAAATATTACTATTCATTCTATGTAATTTATAATTAAACTTTTTTCATTCTTTAATTATTTAATACAACTTCAAATTTTAACTAATTTATACAAAAAAAGCCTTGCAATTTTATATTTTTTATATAGATAAAATTTTAAAAATTTATAGATAAATTTTTTTATTTTATATAGATAAGATAAAATTAAACAATTTGTAATTCTAAACTACAGCAAAATCAGATAATTTTTTCCTGCTGTCGAGTAAATTTTTACATTTTTAAATTATAAATAAAACCAGTTGGTTTAATTTCTTCAAATTATAGATAAATAGCAAAAAGAAGAAAATTTCATAAGTGCAATAAAATAAAATTTTGAAATGGTTGTTGCAATAATAGTTTGTCGAATAAAAAAAATTTCTCATCATATCATTTTTTTTCTTTCTTTTGTATTCATCCAATTTTTCTTTTTCATTTTATTTGCTCATGTACTATTAACAATGCTTAACAAATTGTTTAATCAACCAATTTAACCAGTGATTGTACAAAATTCATCTCACAACAGCATTAACTTCATTTTGTTATTTTTTGCATTATCATTTTCTCTTTTTCTTCTATCCTTCTCTTGTTATATGACTCGATGTAAATTTTTTGCTCTAAGGGATTCGTCGTAGTAGTGAAATATGTCCACATATATAGAAATTGTAGAGTAATCAGATATAAGAAATGTTATACACAGCCAGAACATCGTGGACGTCCAACTGGACAGGTAAATGATACAAACATAAGTAACATAGACTCACGAGTAATGCTTTTTAAATTTTACTTTAAATCATTTGTATATAATGCTTAATCTAACAGCAGTTTTTTGATTTCATTCTTCAAGTTTCTTGTCTTATCTCTTCTGTATCATCAGAACTTTTTAAATAATAAAGAATTCTAACTCATTTTATTAATTCACTTAATTAGCTTTTGTCGTAAAAGACGAAAGATTTAAATTATTATATCCAAAACTAACAAATTACTCTTATCTGATTCCTTTTCCTCACACAACAAAAATCCTTTGTTAGCAAACCCTTTGTTAGCAAAACCCTTTATTAGCAGTCTTTGTTTCATATCATTTAAATGTCCTCCTCTGTGGAATATCTGGTCAGTTTAGTTCTGTATATAAACTAATCTTGTTAACAATCTTCTTTGTTCATCCATGAGAAATCCTCCCATCTAATCTCCATTCGTTAAATCAGTCTTATATATAAACCAACCAATCCTTCTATAACCATCATTTGCTTTATGTTTTGGGTGGTATTGGGATGCGTCTAATACTTTATAATTTTGTGTTATTTCACCATTTTTATATTATTGCATTTTTTATAGTTTACGCGTTTGTTAATCGGTGTAGCATCCGTACGATATGTATAAAGCGCTATTATTTGCTTCATGTTAAATAAAGGTTTAATTACCCAAGTTTGAGGTTTCACGACAGCTTTTTTAAAATTAAAATTAATTGTTTTTCCTAAAATTTTTCTAAAATTAATTTTTTTTTCACTATTTTATTGATGACATTTTTGTGGCGTTGAATTAAAAGCAATAACAGTAATTTCCTCTACCAAAAGTAATTTTTTTCTCTATCATTTCAAATACTTCTATTTAAATGTTTAATACAATTAACAGATATTCTCTGAATTTCGCTTAACTTCATAAATATGATTTCAAGAAAAAATTTGGTTTGTTGGAAAATTTTTGAATAATATTAGGTTCACAATTTGCACTTTTAATTCAATACTAATTCAGGTAGGTTATATAAATCACAGATTTAACGACCATTTCCAGCCATCCTCACAATATTTTGACGGGAGGTAGGTATTTCCAGTGCGTTTTTAACCTTTATTAAAGTTTTAATACTCTTTTTAAATTTTGTGGGCATTATTAAATAGAAGCAGAAAAATTGCACTTTAATTCATTAGTAATTTTTATATTTTTCTCAACTTATTTCTCTGTTTTTCAGCCTCTACAAATGGGTTTCACCTTTGCTAAGAGAAAAAATGAATTAAAGTGAAACAAAATGGTACACATAAGGGCATTTGCAGTAGTAATCTTATTTCCAAATGGAAGTCAGCGACAGAAACATCAGGCGCAGATCTGAATAAGGATGCAGAAATGATTATCGATAGAAGAAAGTAAATAGGCTATTTTTAAACGATTAAGGACTTATTTAACCAGTAACTTTCATTCCTATTTCTAATATCATTTATCAAAATTGAACGCTGCCAATAAATCTGGATCTGATTTTAGATCAGAAAATCCAGATGATGTATCTTCAAGAAATAATGAGCTAATATACGATGGTTGCAGTAATCCAATGCAACAACTTTACTCAAAGAGAGAGATTTAACTGTAGAACAAATAAAGCAATTCGACGGGTATGAGTTTGAATATGGTAAAATGCCGAGCATTCCATTATCCAAGGAATTTTGTTTCTATTGGCTTTGGTTTGTATGCTTTAGATCTCTTAGATCAATTATGATTCTTGTGTGATGTCTTCGATATCTCTTAATATTTGTGCCAAATAATTGCATTAAAATGAACAGATTGGTTCATACATTTACAATTTGAAACCGATCAGATGAATATGAAGTGAAATAATACCTGTATTCCATCTTACAAAAAAAAATGATTGACTGACTGTTCATTGTAAAAAATGAAATCAATAAATTCTCAACAAATTACTGTTCTTGATTTCTTTATTTTCTTTCATGACTGACTGTTTATCATTCATTTAAATTATATATCACTGCAATGTGAATTTGAAGATTAATGAAAGAATGTATTATTCATTTATACTCATATAATGTCCCGAAATGGCATGCAATTATTTAAAATCCCACTAATCTCTTTACTGAAATCAACTAGTTTTTATTACTAAGTTGTTGTGAGAGGCAGGAAGTAATTAACTAAATAACTATGAAGTCCCAAATCAGAGTCGGAGTTTTAGCAGACCAATATTTCCATGAGTTTTTCCGCAGAGTGTTCGAAAATGATCCATAGCAATTCGGATCGTACATTGAGGAGGCCAATGTAAGAAGTGCAAAGGAAGGGGTTGATAAGAAAAAAAAGCCACGGTTAGATGTTGTGCAAGAGCGAAGCTTGCGGAGATGCTGAGCATTTGCAAGATATGTGATGTGTAGAAGATAAGAGGATGGGAAAAAAATTATGGTACAATGTGGTTATAATGACATGGAATTAATTAACTTTTATTTTTGATTAAAAACGAGGATGTTTGTAATCAATGACTTAAAATAACTTGAAGTAAAACAAATTCAAAATGACAGATAAACTGATGGTTCCCATGTTTTCATATGACTGATAAATTAAAAAATTAAAAGTAAACGTATGGCACGAATTTTACCAGTTGACGGTTATCCGATCCATTTTTGAGCTGTGCTATTTTGTCACAGTTGTCAGTTGCCTTCTCGCTTTTCGTGCATTGGTCCTGATTGCCATCCAGGTTTTATGGTTTTGTGGTTAATTTTTTTAATTATGTAGTCAATAACGTAGTTAAATAGTTTGTTAAAGGTTTTATTTTTTGACTGTTTTCATTTCCTTCTATCTTAGAGCTGTTATTCAGAAAATTTATTCATGAAATTTATGTTATTGCTCATACCTTTGTTCTTAATGTTGCAAATATATATATGTGCGCGCGCACATACATATATGTATGCATGCATACATATACATACATTCTACATATATATATACACATTTCATTCTTGCAAAAACTTAGTAAGTGAGAAATGGATATGAAAAAAATTTTATCTATGTTGGGGTTATTTTCGTGAATGAATTGTTTGTTGAAATCCTACAAATAATTAATAAATGTTGGCTTTTGTATATTTTTGCTTGCATTATACCATTTTAGGACATAATCTTATCGTGCAAATCAAAAGCAGTGCATTAGAAATGAATTAAATAATTACATAAATGATGAATCGAGTTGGAATGAATTGAAAATTTCGATTCAGTTGTGTAATGCTTTCAGTGTATTTGGTACTTTTCGCATTTTGATTACACTAATATTCTCCTATTGGTACTGTATGTCTTATTCATTATTTTTATTTGGTGTTTAGAGAAGTTTTGTCAGTTGGCACTGATGCACGATGAAACGTCACAGTGGTGACGATGATTTAAGCTCATCAGATATTCACGAAAGATTGCTGGTGTCCAGTCGTGGGGTTGGTGGAATCATCGGTAAAGAATCATCGGTTAAAGGTTAGTCAAACGGTTGAGATCGGAGGTTTGACTTTTTTTATACTTTTTCAAGAAAATTTATACTAAACATGTTGGGATCGCATGGAACGAATTTAAAGTTGTCATGTAATGTTGGATATTTTGATTTCATATTTGATTTCGACTGGACAGTTTTTGGCATTACAAGTACTAGGTTAAAGGTTAGTGTCAGATAGGAGTTTTAATAGTTGACATGGGCTATATTTGAAGACATTTACTTAATCGTATCCATTGTGTAGTTAGTTATCGAGATACTGCACTGAATGATTCTGAAGTTGTTTTAGTTGGACGGTCGGTATTCTTCTTACGTAAAAATTGTAAAATAATTCAAAGTGATATATTCAAAAAAATTAATATCATTGAAATCTTACTCTCTTAAAAAATGAATGCATATATGATACAGTTGATTAATGCGCTTTTTTCTGTCCTAACTCCTAGTTACAATCCTGATATCCACTTCCCGATGCCCAATCTTCTTCAAGTTCACCTATAACACCCTGTTATTGTTGGATGATGCAATATTTATGGATTATGAATTGAAGTGAAAGGCCAAGATAAATACTACTATCAAACACCAACTGCCTGCCTTTGTCTAATTTCCTTCCAATCTCATACAAAAGAAAAAATGAATAAAATTAAAAAAAAATTTATTACCATACTTCACTATTGACAATAAGAAATATTCAAGTTAAATTAAGCGATCAATGCTTCACATAATTTCGTTTGCATCATCAATGGGATAAATCAGTAACTCTTTTAATCATTTTCATCATTACAGTATACCTTTTAATTAGTTTGGCATCATTTAAGGACTATCCAATATTAACTATCTATCTAATTTATCTATCTATAAATCTATCATCATTATTATCTTAATTCGTTAAAATAATAAATAATCCAATAAAGCAATAATCAATAAATAATAAATAATTGTACTAGCACCGTATAAAGAACTTGTTACTTAAAAAATGATTAAAATTATCGATGTTTTTTTGCCAAAATTGTTCGAGTTTCAAAGTCTATCTAATTTCAACACTGCCCTTAAAAATTAGACATTTTTAAAATTTGCTTTAGGATTATCTATATTTTTAGATTGGAGCAAGAAACGATAATTATGTGTTGTAAAGTGACAATCTGATTTGAATTGGGTTGAATGTACTAGCTTTCAGATCAACCTCTATCATTTACAGTGATACATTTACAGTGGCTGGTGATCACTTCCATTGGCTTGTTCGAACAGTGGATGAAATAATTGAAAACAAGTATGGTTCAATTAATTATTTATTCATTCACTTTCAATTTTTAAAAATCTATCTAACTAGATTAGCAAAACACTAGATCAATCAATTTCATCGAAAATCAGCTATGATTAAAGAATTCAACTTTAGCACAAAATCTGCGGCTATGTATATTGAAACTGATGTGATATTAGTGATATTAAAATTAGAAAAATTAGACAGAGATAAAAAAGTGTTTCTATTTCAATCCACTTCATCTTGAATCTAACGTAAAATAATTGAATGATTGAAGCAAAAATGTAATTTATATTGCTATCGCATCTACACCTTTGACCCTTATTGTAAAAAAAGTGATATTTCCATTAATTCGCAATTCAAACAACATGATACACTTTCCAGTGTTACGTTAGGAAATTTTCAGTGATACAAAACAGAAAGAATATAAAATTCGATTACATTGAACGTAGTGCACCATCGTTACTTTAAATGAACTCATTCGATGCTACGAAAACCGCACATACAACAGATACGATTATGTTGACGTATTCAGGTACCATAAAAATAATTTCATTCAGTATTATAATAGGATGCCTTTATTAGAATAACCTTTATTAGAATTCAATGACTCGGATTTCCGATAACAGTTATTAGATAAATTATAAGTCATTTTTGTGTATTTGCGTACTGCATATTTGTATATGGGAGTGCCCTCAATGACTTCACACAGTGACTATCTATCAAATGTAACTTCCAATCTTGCCAGAACAGATCCATAATGAACGCAGCTTTACTTTTGTTCATTGTCTTCCACTAAACGACTCCGCAAATCAGTTAAAGGCAAAATCAGCATTGGTGCGGATTTCAGTTTTTGACTCGTTCATCGGTCCCACTAGAATTTGCAAACAGTTTGTTTCATATCATTCAACTACAGATTCAGAAACAAAATTTGTATTAAAAAATAGCAACAGTGCAGCATGGGATCGACAAACGATACAATAATTAACTCACTAATTATGATTAAACCCAAAGAAACGGTCAAAAAAGGAAGAAAAATGGAAAACAAAACAATGGAGGGATATGTCAAAACAATGCTATCAATTCCTAAAAATGTAAACAAGTTAATCCTGAGTCTGAAAAAGCACTCCTGATCCTTAACACACGAAAACAGCAAATAAAAAGCGGCAGAAAACAATCGGTATAATTTAGGAAAACTAGAATTTCAAACAGCTTGGTTAACAATACAGAACGTTCACTGAATTGCAGCAATTGTAATCAACAATGGAATAATAAGAGTATAGCAACATAAATATCATGACATCATAATCACGATCCTTAAAGCAAATTTGCAATATTCATCAATCTGTGTATTATTAAAACTTTCAATATCCTTCATCATTCGCATGTCAATTTCCGTTACAAAATTTATTGCTATACCCTCTCGTCCGAAACGTCCGATCGTCCAATTCTGGAAATTTTCAGACCATTGAATTCTGGCCATTCCTCGTTACCATTTTACATCATTAACTCAAATTCAGCATCACTTTCCCTTTTAGAAAAAATTCATTGCCTTCATCCCTCACCCATTTAACAATGTTCAATTTCAAAAACAAAAGACTCACCGGTGAATGTAGTTCTCACGATTGCTTGGAAGATCGTAATTGATTACCAATGAAACTTGCTGAACATCTATCCCACGTGCCAACAAATCCGTAGTAGTAAGAACGTGGGAGGAGCCTGATCCGAATTCGCGCATAATTACGTCACGCTCACTTTGTTCCATCTCGCCATGCTAAGCATTATCCGGTTTGGATAAGAAAATGGAATGCTAACAAAATGAATTACTTCGAAAAATGAATAGCAGGATCAACATCAAAATATGATCGAAATACAAACTAGGGAAAGTTTTAGAAAAAAATGAATACGTAAAATCATTGAACAAACAAGAGATCATCCACATACAACAAACTCACCATGCGGGAAACAGTGTACCTTTCTTCACTCATTTGAGCTGCAAGATAATTAACTTTCCTACGAGTGTTACAGAAGATGACAGCCTGAGTAACATTAACTGTGGAATATAAATCACAAAGTGTCTCGAATTTCCATTCCTGCAATAACTTTAACTTTCAAAATGCAAATCACTTGACCGATTTCCAAAACACACTAAGATTAACTCCATATCTGCATTTCCTATTAATTGCAGAGCTGTGGCTGGCGCCTATCCTTCCCACACAAACCATGTTAATACGCTGATACACCAGTTGCAGGCGAATCAATATGTTCTACTCTTATAGTCTTACCAGGATAATCCATATTCAAATATAATTTTTAAGCAGAAAAAACAATGAAAACAGTCGTGCTTCTTTTTCGACGTTTATGTAGAACTGCCTGATGCCTTCAAGGGTAAGCTCTTCTCTCTTCACCAAGATGCGTTTGGGATCACTCATGAAACGATTTGTTACTTCCAGAACTTCCGATGGCATCTAGCCGAAAGGAGCACCACCTAAAAGAAAAGTGTGTCACTTTATAACTGTTTAAAAAATGACACTACATTAAATATAACGAATGAACAGCAACGGGAATACCTGAACATCACTCGGTATACATTAGAAGACGTCATAAATTTCTCCTTAAATCCACGAGAAAGCATTTCGTCTGCTTCATCAAGCACGAGCATTTTGATGTTATTAGTTTCTAAAATATTTCTAAAATGAATCCTTCGAATAAAGTATTTTTAACTTCTCAAAACCTTCAAACATAGTTTACAAAAAACTATTCTACATTTCATCATTCGTCCACTTTAATAATAAAGCTAATATCGAAAACAAATCCAGCATAACCACAACTTACGAAGAGACTGGCGTGTAATCATATCATTAACACGTCCGGTGTACCAGCTACAACATGAACACCAGACTCCAATTTCCGCTGATCATCACGAACATTTGTACCTCAATTGATGCATGGCATTTCACGCCGAAATATTCACCCAACGATAGCATCACTTTTTGTATCTAAATCGTTTGTAATATAACTTGGATTCGCAACTCCCTTTTTTACTTCCACTAAAATAATGACCGATCAAAAATATTCGCTTAACACAAATCTTAACATGGCAAAAAGGACTAGAATGCTAACTCTCTTCATATGAGTAAATGATCCATTATATCTTTAAAATAATGTGCAAACTTCAACACTGATGTTTTTTGATCCTCAGATTAATATAGGTGTTACGCCAAAAGCTCAGCTGCTAAACATAACATCGCTATTTCTTACCCTATGAGGGACCTAAGCATCCAACAAAAACTCTATTTTTAGCCATACAGATTACTGAACTTATATGTTGCATAAAAACTTCACTATTTCTCTTTTGTTTTACATTCTTCCTTCTCCGAAAGTCTACTAGAATTAAAAATACGTCTGCTGCGCCAACTCGCGAGTAGGTGTCATTGAACTTCTGGGATAGTTTCATCAATATTTTGAAGTACAGTTACAGAAAAAGTGGCTGTTTTCCAGTTCCAGATTGCGCTTGAGCAATGACGTCACGTTCTGCAACGGAAAAACTTTAAGATATGAAAAAAAAAAGAAAAAAAAAACAGAATTATCAAATACGATCTCATAATATTTCATGGATCCTGCTCGGGAGTCAAAAATCCAATTAAAAAAGATCCAAATTCGACTTTCCCCCTCACGAAAAGAAACAATAACTGTTGAATTTTCTAAATGCGGACTCGCCCTTCTTTATGACTCAATTTCCTCTGATCGAATAGATGAAACAAACCGACATAGAGAATTTCGAAAATTAAGGAAGCAAAAAGCATGCGATATGGATAATGGGAACGCAACATAGCGACTCAACATGTCTGATTAAAAAGGATGAGAAGAGGGAAAAGATCATGTAAGTCTTGGATTCTAACTAGCAACTTTGCTCTCCATTACCATTCTTCATTCTCACTTATTCACAATAAGTATCACGAAACGAGACTTGCAAAGAACCAAAATTTTGGCGCTCCTTCAAATAAATTTAATGAAATTTAGTAATTTGCTTTAGTGACGAGACTTCACGCTGTCAATTTACTGATTTTATACTTTTCATCTTCCTTACTTTTGGTGCACGGAATAACGTTGCTGGATAGCCGATGGCTTCTCAAAACCAGATGCATAAATTCCACGAAGAAGATTTTCTTTCAAACCCATTTCATCAAAGTTTTCGCATACATATTCCCAATTACTCTATAAATGAGACACTCATTTCAATTTGCGACAACCATAAACTTCTAAGCCTCACTTCCATTAACGTGATATTTCACCATCACAAATAATTCCAGCAAATCATACCTCAATAAGGCCATCAGAATCCAAAGGCGCCTGAATCGACGCAGGGGCGCCAGCGGTTTCACCATCGTCTACATACATGTTTCTGCCTGTAAATTCTACTGATTAACGAAATGCTTCCAACAAATTTGTACCTCTGTAATTCGAAATTAAAACGTAGAAATATGCAAAAAATATCAATTCCAGAAGAATATTTGAAACACATATTGTTGATTGGCATCAGTCATGTCAGGAACACCGAACAAAACGAAAAAAAAATTCGCGTTTAGAGTGAAAATAGATAAAACTACTTCCTGTAAATAGCTGAAGAAGGATGAATGAATGCAATAATCAGTTACACGGATTTCAAATTTTAAAAGGTAGGTAACAAATCGTACACACTAGCGCCTGACAAAATGCATATTTACAGCCTAAACTGATCTCAATCGCTATTATTTACTGAGCGGGGTACGAAAATACGATCAAATGGAACTGAATGTACGAATTAATCTTCGACCCGTATTCGAAACGCGAATGAATGAACTTCGAACAAAATGTGGATGAAATTGAGAAATTGTTGCATGATAAAGTAAGGTAAAATGAAGTGGTTTTATTTATAATCATATGTGATGAAAATTTCATTCGATAATAATTTTTCGGAAGAAATGTTAGAAAAAGCAGGATGAAAATTAATTAGCTTATTTTGAAAGTTAGCTTATTAAGCTTAGTTTCAGTGATTGAATTGAGGAGAATTTCTCGATTGCTAAATCATATAAATAGTCTCTTTCTGTATTGTTATAAAGTATATATTTTCTTTTTTTTTTTCATAGTTTTATATATGTCACATATGGATTAACCCGGGATAATTTGAGAAATTGTGATTGCATTGAAGATTTGTTATTGTTTGCTTGTGTTTCGAAGATAGTTTAGTCTGATAATTATGGTCTTTTGATACTTACCTCTGGTCATCTCAATTGAAGCACATTTCTTTCTAATAAATGTTTATTTTTTCCATTACTTCAAAAGCAGAAGTTGACATGGTTTCATGGCACTGAAAGTCTACAACAGCATGTTTTAATTTATTTTTCAGCTTTCATTTTGAAAAGGTGATGTTATCACCGTTACATAGCAATTGGAAGGTGGTTCGTGGGAACACTGGATGATTCCCGGCGAATTACGTCAATACAATATCCAAGTCTGGTATTAATTAATCTTCAATCTATTGCCAGAAATTGAGCAATTTAATTTTCCATTGTAGGAAGTTTAGAAAAGTTGTTCTATATATCCAATAGGAAATAAAGTTTGCAGCATCAAGAGTTTTTTATTTGAAATTTATTGAAGAAATTTATTGTTTATGAAGCATTTTGAACAAGTTTATATAAAAAGTTTTTCAAAATGTCCATTTTTAAAAAAATTTTTGCCATCTCGAAATAATGGTCCCCTATTTTAAATGGTGATGGTCTGTCATCCGGTCCAACAAAAGAAACGCTTCTCTTTTCGAATGACACAAGTTGCCAAGCTTATCGGAAACATTAATGTCATGGGATTATTGTGCTCTTTTCTTTATTGGTTGAAGCATTTAATTTCACAGAACTTCTCGTTTTTCGTGTTATTATAGTTTCCATTTGTGCATTATACTTGCAAATTATTGTTAGTTTGAAATATATTTTTGCACTGAAAACTTATTAAAATGTAGCCGAAGCTGCCATAAGCATTACCTGTAGGGTAAATTGGATCCGATATCAATACTTTACAAAAGACTTTAAATGTTAAGCATGGATTTAAAAAACTGACATAACTTTTGCAGAATCTGTTCCTGAAAATGCTTTTCCTATCTTGGTAATACACCAAACATTCCGAATCCGGTCCAGCACGATACCATATAACTTTAGTTGAAACTGGAGCTGATATTATCGGTGGCCTGAAGTTTGTTATAAATACGAAATTTCTAACGGGCTAGCATTTACATCTTTTAGCATTTACGTTTGATGTGTTTAACATTTCTAATTCCAGGTAATGAAACATTTTCTGAAGGCGGAATTCACTTACGTTGATAACGTCATAAAATTTAATGGCAGTACATTGATCAAAGCTAACGATTAAGGATTGAAAAGTATTTTTTCATATAACATTTTTCTGACATTCTGTATAGAAAAAAAAATTTTTTTCAAGTTTTTGCTGGAAATCTACTTTCTTGAGAAAAGATGTAAAGATGGTGAAAGATTTGTTTTCAAGCAGAATTAGATTTTGTATTCGACTTTATATTTCGAATTTGTATTTTTAGGATTTCTGAAAAGGATTTTCAAATTCTTACTGGAAATCTACACTTTTTGATTACTCATCAACGCGAATTATTAAGTAATATCAAAGAAGCTGCTGAAGAGGATACAATCAATGCTGGAGAATTGGTGGTTTATTGCTAAAAGCAGCATCAAATTTACGACATCTTCTCAGACTTTACTGTGAAAATTATCCAAAGGTAGTGGATCTCATCCTCAGAAATAAGTAGGTTTTACGTGAAAGGTTTCATTAAAGAAGAAAGAAGTAACATTGGTGCTTATTCACTTCAAGAATTTGATATTAAAAGCTAAAATATTAATTAGATATAACAGTACGTAGTGTGATGGCTGTAACAAATCAGATTCTATCTAGATGCTCTCCTTACATATATTTTCAAACAATTTTTATAAAGAATTACTAAATCAAATGGATTCCGTGAATTGTTAATAACGGTATAAGCATCATCCATGATTTATGAATCACAGTTGTATATCTTTGAGTATAATACATCCATGGTTTGTGAATAACGATCTTAGTGTCACACAACAACAAGTTGTGAATCACGATTGTACATATCTGAATAATGCATCCATGAACTGTTATTCATGGATGTAATACTACATGTTTGAGTATCACATCCATGAATTTTGAATCGTGGATGTATTCATCCGAACACAATACATACATGAATTGTAAATAATCTGAGTATCATACGTCCATGAACCTTGAATCACGGCTGCGTATGTCTGAGTGTCATACTTCCATGAAGTGTGAATAGCGATTGTATTCGTCCAAGCATCTTACATCCATGAATTGTTAATCACGATTGTGTATGTTTGAGTATTATATATCTATGAATTGTTAATCACTTTTGTATTTTTTAGAATATCATACATACATTAATTATTAATCACGTTTGTATTTGTCTGACTATCATCCATGAATTGTGAATTATGATCTGAGTATCATACATCCTTGAATTGTTAATTATATTTCTATTCGTTTGAGTGTCATACAACGATGAATTGTGAATCGCGGTTGTATTCGTCCAAATATAATACATCTATAAATTGTAAATCACGATTGCATATGATTGCATATTATTGACACGCAAATTCGTGAAGCGTTCCAAATTTTTAAGGTAAACTGATTCAGGTGCTTCTTTTTTTACTTCCCCTCGTTTTATAGGCAATGCCTCCATCGTATCAATGGTTGGGATTGACTTGCTAATATCATCATAAACACTATCTAAGATATTTGTTGATGAACGCCAAATTTCTTTTTGTCTCATAAGTTGATTATTGCGCTTCTCGCGCAATAAGATCATGCATATATTTGTGACTATCATGCATACATGAATTGTAAATCATGATCTCAGTATCATACATTTTTGTATTGCTGATCATGTTTGAATTCGTCTGAATGTCATACATCCATGAGTTCGTAATCATGTTTGTATTCGTCTGAGTATGACACATCCATGAATTGTGAATCACGATTATATATGAATCATACACCCATCAATTGTGAATCGCGGTTTTATTCGTCCGAATACAATACATTCATGAGTTGTTAATGTTTATATCTGAGTATCATACAACCATGAATTGATAATCACATTTGTATTCGTCTGAGCATCGTACATTCATGAATTGTGACTTGTAGTAGCAAAGGAAATAAATGAGAGAAGGCTAATGAGGAAAATATAAATAACACACCTTTCTCTAATCTGCAACACTTAATAAAATAAGGCTGCGAAGCGAAAATATAGCAAATAGATCATTCTATTTGAACATACATGAGGTAAAAGAAGCGATATAATCAATGGAGAATAGATAAAATTAACTAATTAATTATTTTTAAATGTTTTTTCCAAAATTCTATACCAAAGTTGGAGAAAATTTATAATAAGCGTTAATTTCAACTCCTAGTTATTTTTGGTATTGGAAAATTCATATTTGATTTCCTGCATAGCATTAATGACGTTGAAGTGGTGATAGCGATACCGGTAAATTCCACTTTGCGTATTAACTACTTTATCAACATAAATTGAGTATTTTCAATTCTCTGAGCCACTTACTCTAATTTATTCTTATACATAAAGAATTTATGAGTGAAGAATCCAATATTTCGGTTACTAATCAAATCAGGTGCATTTAAAGAATTAATGTCCACCTGGACTTAATTTTTATAAAGTTCTGATAAGGTTTATTTTTGAATTAGGAATTTAAATGATATTTAAGTGTTGCCATTAACAAAAAGGATTATGATATCACTTCGAAGAGAACTCTCTTAAAGCGATAACACTTTAAATTGCTCATGTTTAATTCCATTTCGATATCATTTAATCAAAGAAAACGAGTACAATTTCTTTTCTCGCTCTTTTAACCCTAGTTGTAAAAGACTTTCTCTATATCAGCAGTGATTACTATTCTTGCCATTCTAAAACGTATTAATAAGCCAACTTGGTCTGGTATTTTTAATAAAATATGAAAAGAAGTAGACAAATGACTAGATGAAGAGAGCAAAATAATATGTTTGTTTGGTGAGGTGAAAACCAATTACCATTAAATTGTCTTATGAATGACTATTAACACTGCCCACATACATTTATCAACGACTTATTATGATAAGTCTTTTTCGGTATACTTCAAACAGCAAATAGGGACCTTCACTCGCGTTTCTTCGTGATCTGACCTTTGATATAAATCTTAAACACCTATTAACGACATTTGCGGTGAAGTAGAACACCCTTAAGTGTTTCCAAATTCTTTCATATCCACTCTCACTAATTTAATCAAATATCCCAGTAAAATAAGGTGCTCGCGAACAAGACAAGTAAACATCACAAATTAGAAATTAATAAACTACTCTATCGTAGCAAACTGCAAATTTAGTCTATTCTTTATCTTTTGTAAATATATGACAAATATCCGATATTAAACTAAATCATATCTTTCTATTCCCCTTAACTACTTTTACCGACAGTTTCCATTGTAAATATTTCGTCACCAGTTTATATAAAAATTTATAGATTAATGATTTTCCAAGAATATTTGGCTGTTTCTTCCTGCAAAAAAACTAATCACAAAATAGTTTGAATTGACTGATAGAAAATCTAGAAGTGTATCGTTTACGATTTATAAATTTATTAATTTCATTCAAATTCACAAACAACATAAAATTTAGCTGTTTCGATTCAAAAGATTTCAATACAACAATAAAAATTTTTATACGACGAGCAATATTTATTTCTGTACTCCGACTCAGGCAAAATGAAAATGAAAGGTTAATAGAACTTGAGGAATGAGAAGGAATGAAAAGTTAGCAACTTATTTCCTGTGTAAAGTTATTAATTAGTGAAAATTCGAAAGTTATCAAGAAAAACAGAATTTCGCGTCCTTTTAGATTTTCGACCTTGTTCTTATATCAGTGCATGAATTTTCAGTCATGAGCTGATATTACTATTAAATTCTAAAATAAAGCGATCAATCTATAATTTCTGATAATTCCCTATAAAGTGCCATTTTTGAAGCCTGTTTTATTTTATTCTTACCGAAGGTGCTATTTAACAAAAGCTATGATCTTCATAAGATCAGATCACCTACTTTTCGAAAATTCCCTGCATATGGTGAACATATTACCAAGGTAGTACAGGTCTTCTTTCCATTGACTTAATTTCTCTTCATCGTACTTCCTAATTATTACCCTCTAATTCATTTCACATTTTCAAGTACTAAAATCACAATATTTATTAGCACCATTACTAAAATTATCATAATATTAGATAGAGGTCATGTCAAAAATTCTACGCTTGACTTGTCGTCGATGCTCTTATTCTTGTTGTTGCTGTTCTTATCATATCATTAACTACCATTTGAACTTCGTGTTTCCTGGGTTGACAACCCAGGATCCATCGATCTCAGATCATCCAGTCGTATTCGTACCTAAATTATGGATTTTTGAGAATGGAATTCATCAAAATAATTGTTTAAGCTATCGAATCTAGCTTGGCAGCTATTATTATTTCAATGCGTAAGAAATTTCTCAGAATTTACATAAGACAAAAATGAACTGAAAAGACTTATTTCTCAGCAGCAATCAAAAAAAAAAGGTATATTTTAGTTTTCAGAAAAAGAGCTAAACAAGAAATAGTGGAATAATTTTTTGTTTTGCAAAAAAAGAGAAATATTCTCCGGACGTCTGGACGGAACAAATATTTTTCTGAAAACCTATTTCTACTTTCTAATGTTTCTAATTTTGAACCCGTTGTTTCCCATATATATGGCAAAAAATGAACCCCTTTCATACCGAATGAGCGGCAGCAATCTTTTTGATCAAATAATGCACGTGTAGTATATTTTTCGCCTGAGTTTGTATATTTTGATAATCTCTTCTCAAGCAAGCCAAATATCGAGCTTCTTGAGCTCTTCTAGCATTTAAAAATGATCTTGAGTGAGTTTCCATAAAAATGAATACATTTCGAGGCGCATAGTAAGCTGATAATTTATGCTTGTCTAAAAACTGTGCCATCTGTTTCAGTTTGCGAAGTCGAGGTAGTTTAAGATGAAAGTCGCAAAGTTTTGCAAGATAGGCCCAGATGAAGATGCACAGACAGGTAAGGTCATCGAAAATAGTAATAAAAATGCAAAGATTGGCAAATATTATGATAAGCATGAATATAATACTCCATGCGGAGATGTCGCTGACTATCCAAAATGAATTCACTTTAGCTAACATCGTTCTTATATCTTGGCTACGTGGCTGCTGAATCTCCTCGCCGCAAAGCTGACCGCAACAAGTACACGTATGATACACTACGCCATCACTATCTATCACCATGTAATAACACAGATCGGAATATCCTGTCCTTTAAAAGGAAACACCAATAAATGACGTGCATGATTTTATATTCTGTTGAGTTTTGGTCCCACTTTCTTGCTCTGGGCTACTATATTTTTATTGCGATCTCTTGATCAAATGTGATTTTGTAACAATTTCTAAGTACCGTGAGAACAATAAACAAAATAAAGGACATTGATCTCTCTTCCTCGTTTTCACCTCACCTTCGTTTTTGATATGTATAATTTTTTTATACAGAAAAATGAAATTTGATAATTTTTATTTTCTCTTTTGATCTTTAGAAAAATATTAGAGAAGCAGACATGTTTTAATCAAAGTTATTTTAATGAAAATCTATCTTTTCATTTTTCATCAACTGTCCACATCTTACTCCCTCTCAACTGGACAGAAAGATAGAAGAAATGTCATGAGGAAATATTTCTCATCAATTCCACATCGCTTTTTTTTTAAAGACATCAAAAAGAAATTAATTGTGAAACATAATTTGGTCAGAAGATTATCTTCCAAACTTAGCATCAAAAAGCTAGGAAGAATGACAACAACTTTTATTCGATATGAGAGAATTTTTAAACTACAAGGATAGCGGTTTATCATTCATTATTTATTTCCATTGCCAAATGGTCGAAATTTTTTCGCACTTTAAATTGCAACAATTTCACGTGTTCTTTACTCCTCTTAAAATTTTGAAGAACTGAATTTACACCTAATATTTCTTGATAAAAATAGTTGAGACTAGGAATAAATTTAAAGTAAATTGGAACAAAATAGTTGAAACGAAGAAAATCAAACAGAAAAGATCCAAGTTAACGGATTATGTTGTAAAGATTAAGGTTTATACTTCTTTAACAAAAAAAAAATCTTTATAATATCATCCAAAGTGCTACAATGTCTTTAATGTTATTTCTGAAAGGATATCAGGAAAATAAGACCATTGATACCAACTTACATATGCAATAGGTCATTTTAACGGTATTGTGAGTGCTTTTCCCACGTGCATACGCAAAGATTAAATGTATTGTGATACTTTCTACATTGCAAATACCAAACAGCAATCAGTCATTTAAACTCAGTTAAAAGTCACATGTTGAAAATGACGGAAAAAGTAGAATGGAAATTAAGTAAAAAAAGAAAAGTGAATGTATGGAATTGTAAATAAAACAATAAATAATATCTTACTGATAGCAAACATCTCCATTTACACAAGTAATGCTCATTTCGGTTGATTTTTGTTGTTGGGGGTAAACTCGAACATATTTGCAGTTCATGATGGCATTATTTCTTCTACATATATCTGGCCAAGCAATAGATTCCACCGCATTCATTAAATCGTAGGTTTTATTACAGTCTAGCATAAGTTTATAACATTTACCATCCAGTGGGATCCAAAATAGTGCATAGATTTCGAAAAACAAGCGCATTCGTATGCACTAAGAAAGGCAATGAATGTTTTAAATGAAAAATGAACTTTATAAATCAGTTTGTCAAATTATAGGCAAATTAGTTAAATAGTATAGAACAATATCGCGTAGCTGGGAATGTATAGATGTTGATTAAATGCAATTCTTGTTTGAATACACAAAGCGGACAGTTTAAGCCTCAAGCACCAGCAGACGCAAAAGTGTATCCACAGTTAAAATTTGAATTGAATATTTTCTTTGGTTTATGCTTAAATATCAACAAATCGATCAAGGAACTTATTTGATGACGAATAAATGGTTAGGGCGACAAGAACGCAGTTGAAATACTCTCTATGATGAGAGGACGATCAATAAACGAATGAATAGATGAACTAAATGTCGTGAAAGGTTGTCTGTTGGTTGATATTCGAATTATTTGCAATACAGTAGAAGGATTAATAAGTCTTTATTTTTCGCAAACATAGTATTAATAAACAGAGCAGTAAAAGAAGAGAAGAAATTTATAATAAAGAAGAAGATTGGAGGAGTTGATCTTGGTTAAACGAGCGTAGTCGACAATGATGATAATTTATGGTTTTGTTTATTAGAATTGAATTTATATGAGTGAGGATTGGGTGTGTCTAAGATAAAATTACATGTGTAAAGAATTTAAAGTGTTTACCACGAAGAGATTAAAAATACATGTGTGAATACCGTAGGATTGTTTACAATTTAAAAAGAGATAATTTATGATACTATGAATTTGGTTAGAAGTTTTCGCGAAATTATAATTCGCGACTCCCGAAGGGGGAGAGAAATTGTTTTAAGATGTAATTTTGAGAGAGTGATTTTGAGGTGTATAGCTAAATGTACGGAGTTTAATAGGTGGGATTTCTTCTTTAGTTAGGAATTGAGTGTGTGGTGATTTTGTAGGGAGAGTAATGATGGTAGCTTGATTTGAATTTCGTTTTGAAATATTACAAAGGAGGGATCGAACTAATTTAAATTTACACTTAATAATAACTAAAATAGTTAATAATGTCACGATTATTATACAGATAAAAATCATCCAATGTGTTATCACGTTTTCAAATTCTTCTTCTATCGGTAGAACAATTTCGTTGAATTTCCTTTCCATTTGTTCGATAATTTCTTCTCCTTCTTCAGAATTTTCTTGCCAAAAGAATTCATCTTTCATTCAATGTGGTATTGAATTGATTGTTTTTTGGTTTTGAATTAGGATTTCTAATTCTGCATTGATTCTTTCAATTTCAAATTTACTTATTAAATCTCCTTTGAATGTTTTCGATTGTCGGTCGTTCTGATTTGCAAGGAGCCACCATCAAATTTCTGTTAATTCTTTTAGCTATCACATCGTTTCTTTGAAGTATTAGTTTCGTGGCAAGGGTAGGATTGCTGATTGATAGCCATTTGATCAAAAGTAATAAGTTATTTCTGTTTTGGCAATTTCTCTGCTGTGTTTCTTTGAGTTGTTGAAGGAATTCTTGTTTTAGTGAATCAGAAAAGTATCGAAGTTTTACATTTTCAGAATCATACTTTCTATCTGGAGACTTTTCCATCATCAATAGTTTATTTGTTACTCTTCGTTTGAATTTTGTAGTAGAGTTCGAGTCATCTTCAACGTCTAGTTCAATAACTATATCGCCCTGCATTAAAATTGGAGAGGTGAATCTACAATTTTTGGTGTTTAATACAGGGGGATTTTTATCAATTATAAGCGATGCTTGTATCTCATCGATGATGAAGTGGTTGTTATACTTTGTAGCCTTGAATCTTCCGATCTTTCGATATAAGCAATGACTGGTCGTATCATTGCTATTCCATATGATAATGCTAGTATTCGTTATGCATTCACCCTTTTGTGTCGAACAGTCTTTTATATCTTCAAGGTTAGAGACTAACCCTCTTCCATCGTAGATGAGAATTTCTCCTTGAGTTAATATGAAGTTTGAAGTTGATTGACAGTTAATTCCTAACCATCCATAGGAGTATTGTATTTCCTTATTCGTTATCCATTGATTAGGAGAAGATTGAATTAGTCCAATTCCGTTCATTTGTTTTCGAACATTTAAATATCTGCAGAATTGTGAGGAAGTTGCAATAGTAGACGTATAATCTGATACTATCGATAGTGATATTCTAAGAAAAGCTTTCGTGCATACGGTTCGTGTAATGCTGCTACATTTTATAGCTGGTATTCTTACATGGGGTGCGTGTGTACACATCCACTTTGTGATATGTAGCATTTTTGTGAATTTCTTCACAATTCCATTTTTCAGGAATATTAAAGGGTACTCCAGTAATCCAATTACAACTATTGTTAGCTAATACCTGTCTTGGTATTAATGACATCATCGTTATCAATGATGAAGTTTTTATCAAAAGATTAGACTTGTCCTTTGCATAGACTGTAGTTTGTGATTTTTTAGCACTTCTGGTTCGTCGAGCAATGGGTTCTTCTGGTTCATCTTCCACTTTTTCTTCTTTATCTTCAGTAGCATCTATTTCCATAAGATAAAGCATATTTATTGATCGATCGATTTGTTTTCCATTCGGTAATTGTATTGTTGCACTCCTTATTTTTCCATCCCATCCTCGATTAATTTTTATTATCCTTGCCAATTTCCATACACCACGAGATATTTCTGGTTCATTTAGTAATACTATCTCATTTTCATGTGTGGTACTCTTTTTTCTACTATTCTAGGTGATTTTAATTCTCTCTGTGTGCGTTCTCTAAGACTTGTAAGATATTCTTCTTTCCACAACTTTCAAAAGACATTTAATGTGGTAAGAGTGGTAGTCCAATACTTGATTAACTTATCTTTAGTCTTTATTGTATAAGGGGTATATTCATCTTGATCACTATCATAATTTATGATAGTGATCAAGATGAATATATCAAGATGAAATTTATTAATTTATTGGTAGATCTAATGAAGCCATAGGTGATATAAAATCAATTGGACGAATAATTCTATAGTCATCAAACCCTACATAAGTTAATGGACGGGTGTTAATTCTCCTTCCTTCCTTCCTTCCTTCCTTCCTTCCTTCTATTTCAACTATTAATGTTATTAATTCTCCTTCCTTTAGAAGTTTTCTTCCTATTGCTCTTCTTAATGCCTTTTTTGTGAGTCCTATAAGTCTTTCATATACACCACCACCCCATGGTGCTCTTGGTATAGTATTTTTCCATATCATACCTTTTGTCGCCAAAAAATTAGCGTTTTCTTCCATAATGATTTTGAATACCAGTTGAAATTGACTTGCATTATCGCTTAATATTAATTTTGGATATCCACGTCGAGCGATAAATCTTCTTAAAACATGTGAAAAATTCTCGGCAGATAAATTCTCCGCCATTTCAAGATGCACTGCTCTGGTAGTGAAGCACGTAAAAAGTGCGATCCATCTTTTGACTAGACCAGTGTAAGATTTGACTGAAAGAGGACCCATATAATCAAGGCCGACTTGTTCGAAGGTCCTAGATCGTTTTACTCGTGTTTCTGGTAAACTTGGCATCGCTGGCAGTTTAAACGGTTTAGCTTTCCAGCGAATGCAATAACAGCATAGGTTTATGATTCGTTTTACAGCAGCTCTTCCTTTCGGTATCCAATATTTTCGTCTTAATTCAGATAACGTATGTGCAATACCTGCGTGATATAATTCATTATGTAAAATAATAAGATCGGCAATATAATTATGATCCGGTAAATATATGGGATATTTGCCCATTAATTCTGAATTTTCCAGTCGGCTCATTAATTTCCATAAGTTATCACTTTCATCTAGATATAGATTCCATTTTTTCTTTTTGTCCACCGTTAGTAATTGTGATTGGGCCTGTCTGATCAGCATAGTCTCTGCTATATCGTAATCAACTTTAGTCATATATTTCTTTTTTACGGATAATGGTTCTAGCCACACTAATTTCTTTTTGCAGGTTTGTTTAATAAATCTAAAAGTCCAAACAGTTACTCGAACTAGTTTTGTCCAACTGCTGAAGCGACATTCGTCAATAAATTCAACTGTATCAAACTTTTAAAAGTTTGAGTTATCTTTGTCAAATTCAAAGCAATTGCTTCTGCAAATTCATCGTTTCCTGAATAGCGAAGTTTACACTTTGACCATTCAGATTTCTTGAGTTCCAACCATCGAGGTCCTTTCCACCATTGTTTACAATTTTGGAGTTTAAGTGGTGATACTCCTTTGGTGGCTATATCTGCTGGATTTTGATCACTTGGTATGTATTTTAATTCGAAGTTAGATTTCCTTATTTCTTCGATGCGATTTTGTATAAATCTGGGAAGCAGCTTTGTATAATTCTGGATCCAGTAAAGAACACATTTTGAATCCGTCCACAAAGTAACTTGATTATTTTCAAGATTTAATTGTTTCAATACGAACTGAGTTGCTCTTACTCCAATTAGTACAGATAATAATTCAAGTCTAGGAATTGACATACCTTTAATTGGAGCAATTCGAGATTTAGCATAAATCAAAAATGAATTCGAATATGTGTTTTGTTATCCATGATTGAGAATATAAATAGCTACAGAATAGGCAACTTTCGAAGCGTCAGTAAATATATGGAATTCCGTTAATTGTGAAGTTTCCATTATAAATCTTGGCAGCTCTATTATATTTGTTGGCCATTCTTTGATGAGATTTATCCACTGTTGTTCCTCCTGTTTGTTTAAAGATTGCTCCCATGGAATGTTTTCTTTCCATAAGTGTTGTATGAATAATTTAAGTTTGATCATTATAGGAACGAGAAGACCCAATGGATCGTATTGGGAGGCTATGAATTGTAGTATAGCCCTCTTTGTTAAATTTTTTCCTATCCATGGTTTCAGTGTCACACGGATAATATCTCGTTCATGGTTCCATTTAAGACCAAGAAAATTTTCCTGGTTTGTTTGGCTTAGGTCGCATTCAGCTATTCTTTCATTAAATTCTTCGTCATTTGAAAGAAATTCTCTTATGTTCATCGATGCTTCACCAAAAATTTCTTTCGTTCTTTCATATTTATATAAGGCCTCTTCTGTTCCATTAGCTGATATAATAACGTTGTCTACGTATAAGTTCTTTCTTATCTCCTGTCGAGAACAAGCTCGAAATTCCACTAGAAATAATCTTTTACCGAACAATCGAATTTAGCAAAAGGTCAAATTTAAATCAATGTATTTATATTTAAGCAAATCATGTTAATCATTTATTGTAAGTTTTATTGTAATTCAAATTCCTTAATGACTCATAGATGGTAATGTGTTAACAAATTCCTATACTAATCTGTCATATCATCTAATGCACATCTGCTCCAATCCTTTGTTTGTTATCTAATTCCGTTTACAAAAACTATCTTTCCCATAGCCTTCCTCCTAGCTTCCATTGTATCAATCGCTTTATCTCTCCACCCTCAAATCATCCTATAAGGGCAATTACCACTCAACCGCAGCTGATCCAGTCCCAGCATTGTTACCACTCTCCCCGTTGCTCAGCTTATCCTTCCCAGCATTGTTACCAGTCTCCCCGTTGCTTAGCTCATCCTCTTCACTAAATTGTCAAACTACTGATTGCTTGTTTGTTTTAATTACCCAAGATAAAGCACTCGACTCAATTGTGCAAGTAAACCAACCCAATTCAATACATTCACAACAATTTTATGGTGCCACGAGCCGGGAACATGTCATCCATCCTCATTAGAATCGCAGACCAAACAAAACGAAGATTGTGTGAAGTCCTCAACGAAATCAAGAGTCTGAACTTGGATTCGGTCGACCAAACGACAACAACCGACGAAACAATCCGTCTTCATCAGGAACGGAGAAGGATCACCCAAGAAAAAATCATGCATATCCAAATATACATAGAGGCGTTGGAATCGGTCAATACAGAGTGGAAACAATTCATCCAGCAGATTTCAGTCTCAACCAAAAGAAAAGAAGAAGAAGATCGATACCTTCAGATAAACGACGATGAATCAGGTATTACCAACTTAATTTTACAAGCAAAACAAACTGTAGTCATTTTAAAAATGTATCAAAATGATTCGGAGTTCATATTACAACGGTAAATCAGTCTATGGTAAGGGAGGAAACAACTCAACCCAAGGAACCCACACAAGCGGGTAAATACCCTACAGTAAATCTCCCACAACTACCACTGCCCACATTCGGTGGGAATCCAAGACGCTGGAGGGAATTTTGGAATAGCTTTGATACAGCTATACATCAACAAGCAATTCCCGATATCCATAAACTAAACTATCTCATCTCATGTCTCAAAGGAGATGCTTTCCAAGCTATCAGAGGTTATGACATAACTCCGGAGAATTACAGTATCGTAAGAAATGTCCTCGTCGAAAAGTTTGGGCAGCCTTACGCCATCAAACGAGCCTTGTTCAGCGAATTATACTCCATCAAAAAGAACGATAGAGAGTGGAAAGCAACGCTTGAGGCCATTGAGCGAACACTTCGACAATTGGAGGCCATCGGTGAGAATTTAGAGCAGTCCGGTATCGAAATAGCTGTGGAAGGGAAATTGCCAACCTGGATCCTAGAACAGGTTTACAGAAGAAAGAGGCAGGAATCGTGGTCTGTCACCAAACTCCGAAACTTCCTCACGGAGCTTGCATCTGTGAACGAAGAAGTAGTACAAAGCCAGTCCCTATGGTTTAAAGGGAATATGGAGAATCAATCTCCAATAAAAGGCAAGCCAAGACCACGACACAATCCCAATGAGACTTCAGCCTTAACAATCTCTGTTCCGGAGAAACCCATCATCAAAGCCCTATCAAGACCTTGTGCACTATGCAACAAGAATCACTGGGATGAAGAGTGCCAGATTTATCCCACTCTCAAACAAAGGCTGGAACGTCTGAAGAAACTAAACGCTTGCCTCAACTGCTTCAAGATCGGACATATGGCAGCCAGATGCAAAAACAAGAAACGGAATTGCTTCCACTGCAAGGGTCAGCACAATTCCGCGCTGTGCCCTAACAAATTCAAGGAAATGCCCAATAAACCAGAGGATCCAGACTCCACTACCACGACAAATATAATAGTCGAAAAAGAGAAGAAACGTGACAAGCGCATCCTACTCTTATGCAAGCAGATAAATGTGTTCAACCCAACTAATCCAAATACTCAACAAAGGGCTTTAGCCCTATTCGACGTTGGATCACAATTATCCTTTGTTTCAAAGAACTTAGCCAAACAACTAATGCTTAACGAAACAGATGAAGGGAAATTAAACATCGTTCATTCGGCAAAAAGGACCCGAACACGCACCTTACAACCAGAATTGAAATAGGGATAAAAATCGGAAAGGACCGTACAGTGTTGCTCGAAGCGAACACCGTGAACTATTTAACAAACAAACTACAAGTAGTCAACTTAAGTGAAAGCGACATACGATCCCTCAAAGGAAGTCCAACAATTGATTTCCACAGTGAATGGAAGCAACCGGATATATTAATAGGAGCCAACCACTTCTTTCAATTCATCAATTTCGACAAAGCAGAGAATCTGCAATCGGGATTCACACTGCTCCACACTAAAGTGGGCCCGATCCTGGCTGGGTCTGGCTATACAAAGAAAATTTCTCCCAATTCACGAATGTCCTCACAAATAGTTTACGCCGCTAACACGATCAACGTTCCAGATTTAGATCAATTCTGGAAACTGGAACTAATAGGCATACAAGACAAACCCGAGATCAATGACGATGAAGAAGCCTTAAAACAATTTAAGCAAACGATTAGAAAATCCGATGGACGATACCAGGTCGCATGGCCATGGAAAGACACCAGTTCCAAATTAAGCGACAATTTCTTATGTCTCGGACGCTTACAGTCGTTAATCAAGCGACTTCACCGCAACCAACATCTACTTACCACATACAATGAAACAATCAATGAACAGTTAAGATCCAATGTCATCGAAAGGGTAAGTCATTTCACAAACCATCAAGGTATTATCCATTACTTGCCCCATCATGAAGTGGTAAAAACAGATAACACCACGACAAAGGTCAGAATAGTTTATGACGCTTCCGCTCACCTCAGAGGCAGGAAAAGCTTAAACGATGTCTTGTATCGAGGCCCTATCACCCTTCCCGATTTAGCTGGAATATTAATTCGACTAAGAACAATGAAAATCATCATATTAGCTGACGTCGAAAAAGCCTTCCTACAATTAGAGTTGCTGCCAACGGAACGGGACTGCACACGCTTTCTATGGGTAAAAGATATTCAGAAACAGGTGGACAGAGATAATTTAATATGCTATCGATTCAAAAGGGTCCCCTTTGGAGTGATATCGTCACCCTTTTTATTATCAGCAACTCTCAATTATCATTTGGAACATTATGAAACTGAAACTGCACGTGAAATCAAGAAGAATCTCTACTCGACAATGTCATCTTATCAGCGAGCCATGAAGAGGAAGCCTTGAATAAATATGAAGAAACAAAATCAATTTTCAAGGATGCGTCAATGAACGTGCGAGAATTCCTCTCAAATGACCAGACATTCAATGAGCAACTACCCAAGTCGGACCGAGCACGAATGAGTCAAATAAAGAAAATATTAGGGATTAAGTGGAATCCACACAAGGATCATATCCAAATAACACTAAATCCATGGACCGAACAAACAACAACAAAAAGAACTATTCTACGGTTCATCGCCTCACAATACGACCCACTTGGATTCCTAGTACCACTGATAGTACCGTTCAAGATATTTCTCCAAGAACTCTGGAGAAAAAACATACATTGGGATCAACCCCTCGACAATCAATTGATTGAAACCTGGAACAATCTTGTGGTAAAATGCCCAACTCATATCAAGGAAATCCCGCGATTCACAATCGATTTATCACAACAAATTACCTTTCATGTTTTCACCGATGCATCTACAGTGGCATATGCTGCAGTAGTATACGCCCATCAAAATACGCATACGTCGTTACTCTTTGCTAAATCACGATTAGCACCTATTAAAGGAATGACGATACCAAAGCTAGAATTACTAGCTATTCTCATCGGTGTACGCGCAGCTCAGTTTGTCATCAAACAAATGCAATTAGAAAATCCAAAGGTAGTGGTATGGTCTGACTCTCGCTGTGCACTACATTGGATACAAAACAACTCTCGCCTCCTACCAAAATTTATACAGAATCGTGTGGAAGAAATACAAATGGCGAAATTCGCATATCGGTATATCCCAAGCGAACACAATCCAGCAGACATTGCTACCAGAGGAACCATTCCGACTCGTCTAATAAGTTACGAGCCTTGGTGGAGCGGGCCCACATGGATCAATGGTAATGAACCGAATTGGCCTCATTGGGAATACGACGTTCCACAAGAAGAGGATAACGAAGAAGATAAGAATATAGTAGCAACAACAACCACAGAAGAAATCATCAATACAAATCGAATCAATCTCCTGGAGGCAAAACGATTCAGTAAATGGACAAAGATGATAAGAACAACAGTAAGAGTACTAAAATTTCTCAAAAAATTATCTAAAGGAAAATTAACCTGGTTAAGCAGCGTATCAGAAAGGAATCCGATTTACACCCGAGGATTACAATCTCGCTGCGGAACTACTAATAAAACAATCCCAATCGGAAGGTATAACAGCAGAAGAAGTGGAAAAGTACAATCTGCACTATGCAGACAGGTACTGGAGATTCCAGAGCAGACTACAATTGCCGAACGACAGGGAATACTCATCCCAAACAATATATCTCCCCAGACACAATCGAATAACAGAACTAATTATTCAACACCACCACGAAACGACGCATCATGGAGGTATCCCTCAAACTATTTCCAGAATAAGAAAGCTTTACTGGATTCCGAAAGGAAGGGCTGAAGTCAAGAAGGTGTTAAACCGCTGTATGAGTTGCAAACGCTGGAAAGCCAAGCCATTCAAATTGCCACCTATGCCAAATTATCCGCAAGAGCGGATCACTGAATCAAGAACGTTTGGACGAATTGGCCTCGGATATTTGGGGCCGATTACTGTGAAGATACAATTGGAAAAAGCAAAGCGATGGATCGCCTTGTTCACATGCTTCACCACCAGAGCGGTACATTTGGAAATAGTGGACGATCTATCAGCGGAAAGTTTCCTAACTGCATTAAGAAGATTTGTTGCGCGACGCGGCTATCCCGAACTCATTCTTTCGGACAACGCCACCCAATTTCAGGCAGTTTTTCAAGCCATAAAAACGCAAGAATCACAACTCTCTAATTTCCTTGCTGAGAAAGGAATCAAATGTAAGACTATAACACCGAGAGCACCATGGAGCGGCGGAATCTACGAAAGATTAATCGGCCTAACAAAAAGGAGTTTAAGAAGAGCTATCGGTAGACGACTGCTTAAGGAAGGGGAACTAATCACACTGATTATCGAAGTGGAAAGCATTCTTAATACTCGCCCCTTAACTTACGTAAATTTCGACGACTTAATTATTTTGCGACCAATAGACTTCATCATTCCCAATGCTTCTTTGTCTATACTGAATAGCAATAACGACAGAGAAGACGAATTCTCACCTTATAGTCTAACCACACAAGAAAGGTTACTTCAACACTGGTCGAATACCCTAGAAACATTGAAAACATTTTGGGAGATATGGAAAGACGAATACTTGAATAGCTTAAAGGATCGATACCAATTAGAACATAAATCTCCAAGAAATGTAGAAAAGAGACGGCCGATAGAAGGAGAAGTGGTACTGTTAGATGAGCCTCATGCACCACGTGGTACATGGAAACTAGCAAGGATAAAGAAATTAAACGTAGCCAATGATGGGTACGTCAGGAGCGCTCAGATCGAAACATCGTCAGGAAAACTTCTAAATCGACCTGTAAGCACGTTGTATCCACTTGAAGTTACTCCAGAAGAACAATCTACTCCGAAGAACCCCGCGAACCCATCAGAGAGAGCAGAACCAATTATCCAAAACCGAAACACCACAACTGACACGAAGATTTCGAGTGAAAGTGGTGAGGAGCAACCTATTGCTCATCGAACACGGAGCTAGACAAATTTACAAAAAAGGGAGAAGTCAAATTTCGTTTTAACCAACTTACTGTTAACAGTAGCAATATCGATAATTCTACAAGCAGCAGAAACGAAGGAATGCAAATGGACATCAGGTGTTGAGAATCACAATGTTTTATCCTATAAACCCCAAATCTATCCATTAGAACACTTTTCGCTCTTCCCTCGGGAGTGTCGAGAACAAGCTCGAAATTCCACTAGAAATAATCTTTGTACCGAACAATCGAATTTAGCAAAAGGTCAAATTTAAATCAATGTATTTATATTTAAGCAAATCATGTTAATCATTTATTGTAAGTTTTATTGTAAGTCAAATTCCTTAATGACTCATAGATGGTAATGTGTTAACAAATTCCCATGCTAATCTGTCATATTATCTAATGCACATCTGCTCCAATCCTTTGTTTGTTATCTAATTCCGTTTACAAAAACTATCTATCCCATAGCCTCCCTCCTAGCTTCCATTGTATCAATCGCTTTATCTCTCCACCCTCAAATCATCCTATATAAGGGCAATTACCACTCAACCGCAGCTTATCAGTCCCAGCATTGTTACCAGTCTCCCCATTGCTTGGCTCATGCTCTTCACTAAATTGTCAAACTACTGATTGCTTGTTTGTTTTAATTACCCAAGATAAGATAAAGCACTCGACTCAATTGTGCAAGTAAACCAACCCAATTCAATCCATTCACAACACCAATCCAATCCAATACATTCACAACATCTCCCATGCCAATTCACTACCATGATTTTCTAGGTGGTAATTTAATGTTGCTGCTAACAAGAAGGGTGAGGATATTATTCCAAAAGGAACTCTCTTAGATCGGTAACATTTTATATTTTCATTGGTTAGTTCTTTATCAATATCATCCAACCAAAGAAAACGTGTACAACTTCTTTCCTCATTTTGTAGTTCTAGTTGTAAAAATGCCTTTTCGATATCAGCGGTTATTACTATTTTCATCATCCGAAAACGTAATATTACTCCAACTAAATCCGGTAACATTACTGGACCTCAATATAGTACTTCATTTAAGCTTTTAAAACCTTTGTGATGTGCTGAGGCATCATATACTATTCTTAATTTAGTTGTTGATTTACTGGGAGTTAATACTTCATGATGTGGTAAGTAATGAATAACGCCTACCTCATCCTTTGGAGGTATTTCTTCAATTATACCTGAATGTAGTTGATCCATAAGTATTTAATGATATGAATGGAGATTTGAATTATGTTGTAGGCGGTTGATCAAATTCTTCAATCGTCCCAGACATAATCCATAATTATTGCTTAATTTTTGTTTGGAGTCTTTCCATGGCCAACAAACCTGATATCTTCCACCCTGCTTGGTGATGGTCCGTTTGAAATGCTTTAAAGCTTGATCATCATCAGCATCTTGAAATGATTCTTGGATACCAATCGTCTCTAATTTCCAAAATTTTTCTAGCTCCGTGCTAATATTGACGTTTGTAGAATATACTACTTCTTTAGGATATAATTCGTTCTTGCAGAGTTTCTTAATATCTCCACTTCCAGCAATCATTGGACCAACTTTTGATTGAACCACATATGCCCTGATTTCAATTCCCTAATTTCTCGTAGACTAATAAATTTGAAAAAATAGTCAGCTCCAATCAATACGTCAGGTTTTTTCCAATAATTTGTCAAATTTTGAATTTGAAATTCATTTGATGTCTCCACTACCTGCAGTTCGTTTGTTAGATAATCAATTATATTTGCTTGTAGTTGTATGATTTCGCTTTCGGTAGTTAGCACATTTAGTTGTATGCGAGCAGTGGGACATGATTTCGGTTCTTTCATACCAAATGGAGCTGTTCTCATAATTTGAGTTTCTGTTTCGGTTAACTTTAATTGACGTGATAATTTTTTGGAGATGAAGGAGAGTTGCGATCCAATATCAAATAATGCAGGGGTATTTTGTTGTAGTTGAGGTTGTGATGGATTAAAAACCTTTATCTCCTTACATAAAAGTAAGGTTTCCTTTGTCTGTTTGGATCGAGTTGTTAATGTGGAGTTATAGAAAGAAGTTTATATATTTTATTTAATAAGTTTATATATATATTTTATTCTTCTTATGTTTATATGTTTTATTTAATATCCATAATGGCAACTTGCTCTCGATCAAGATTTCAATATTTGAATGCTCAAGGCTTTCTCCTATAACTTCTAACTGGCGCAGTACTCGTTCAATATTTTCAATTGTTCCAATCCATTCTCTTTCATTTCGTTTAATTGATTGGAGTTCGTTTTATAGTAATGTTGTTACTATTGAGTGATCGCTATATTTTTCATTGAGCAGTTTCCTGATGACTTCATAATTCTCCGGAGCTATATCATATCCAGATATTGCTTGTAGAGCCTTTCCTTTAAGACATGAGTACAAGTAATTCAATTTTTGTATTTCTGGAATCGCTTGTGTGTGGACTGCTGCGTTAAAACTGCTCCAAAATTGTCGCCATTGTCTAGGGTCTAGGGAGCGATAAATGAGGAAGATTTACATTAATATTTGAAGAAGGAGTTAATTTTGCTTCTTTTTTTGTTTGTTTATTCGTCAACTCCTTTGAGAGTTGTTTTAAGTTTTGGTCGACTTCATCCTTGTGCATTGCCAGTGTTATTACAGCTTCCTTTCCTTCGTGTAATAATTGAAATATTCCTTGGTCACCTTCTGTTACTGTTTTGTATTTTTCTTCCTCTTCTTCTCTTCTTTTCATCGTGACGATTTGTTGAGTATATGTGAACCATTTATCGTTGATAGATTCAAGCGTAGTTACGCATAATTGGATTCTTCGAAGTTTATCTTCTAACACTCTTTTTCTTATCACATAAAAATCTTCTTTTTCTTCTATTGTTATACTTGGATCTGGAGATTTGATCTCCAGTTGATTTACTTCTTTAAAAAGACTGACTAACCTTTCCTTTGCCGGTTGAAAGCTTGCGATAATGTGGCTTGACACGTTCCCGGCTCGTGGCACCAAAAAATTTTTTTTGTGAAAGGTTGTCTGTTGGTTGATATTCGAATTGTTTGCAATACAGTAGAAGGATTAATAACTCCTTATTTTTCGCAAACGTAGTATTAATAAACAGAGCAGTAAAAGAAGAGAAGAAATTTATAATAAAGAAGAAGATTGGAGGAGTTGACCTTGATTAAACGTGCGTAGTCGACAATGACGATAATTTATGGTTTTATCAGGATTGAATTTATATGAGTGAGGATTGGGTATGTCTAAGATAAAATCACATGTGTAAAGAATTTAAAGTGTTTACCACGAAGAGATTAAAAATACATGTGTGAATAACATAGGATTGTTTACAATTTAAAAAGAGAGATGATTTATGATACAATGAAATTGGTTAGAAGTTTTCGCGAAATTATAATTCGCGACAACAGAATTATAATCTGAGTATAACTGAATTATAATCTGAGTATAACAGAATTATAATCTGAGTATAACAGAATTATAGCCTGAGTATAACAGAATTATAATCTGAGCATAATTCAATTATAATCTGAGTATAATTGCATTATAATCTGAGTATAACAGAATCACAATCTGAGTATAACAGAATTATATTCTAAGTATAACAGAATTACAATCTGAGTATAATTGAATTATAATCTGAGTATAACTGAAATATAGCCTAAGTATAACAGAATCATAATCTGAGTATAACAGAATTATAATCTGAGCATAACAGAATTATATTCCATGTATAACAGAATTATAATCTGAGCATGAGTATAACTGAATTATAATCATAGTATACCTGAATAATAATCAGAGTAGGACTGAATTATAATCTGAGTGTAACTGAATTATAGTCAGAGTATAACAGAATTACAATCTGAGTATAATTGAATTATAATCTCAGTATAAGAGAATCATGATCTGAGTATAACAGAATTATAATCTAAGTATAACAGAATTATAATCTGAGTATATCAGAATTATAATCTGGGTATAACAGAATTATAATCTGAGTGTAACTGAATTATAATCTGAGTATAACAGAAATATAATCTGAGTATAATTGAGTTATAATCTGAGTATAATTGCATTATAATCTGAGTATAACAGAATCATGATCTGAGTATAACAGGTTTATAGTCAGAGTATACCTGAATTATAATCAGAGTATAACAGAATTATAATCTGAGTATAACAGAATTATAGTCAGAGTATAACAGAATTACAATCTGAATATAATTGAATTCCAATCTGAGTATAATTGCATTATAATCTCAGTATAACAGAATCATGATCTGTGCATAACAGAATTATAATCAGTGTAAAACAGAATTATAATCAGAGTATAACAGAATTATAATCTGAGTATAACAGAATTATAGCCTGAGTATAACAGAATTATAATCTGAGCATAATTCAATTATAATCTGAGTATAATTGCATTATAATCTGAGTATAACAGAATCACAATCTGAGTATAACAGAATTATATTCTAAGTATAACAGAATTACAATCTGAGTATAATTGAATTATAATCTGAGCATAACTGAAATATAGCCTAAGTATAACAGAATCATAATCTGAGTATAACAGAATTATAATCTGAGCATAACAGAATTATATTCCATGTATAACAGAATTATAATCTGAGTATGAGTATAACTGAATTATAATCATAGTATACCTGAATAATAATCAGAGTAGGACTGAATTATAATCTGAGTGTAACTGAATTATAGTCAGAGTATAACAGAATTACAATCTGAGTACAATTGAATTATAATCTCAGTATAAGAGAATCATGATCTGAGTATAACAGAATTATAATCTAAGTATAACAGAATTATAATCTGAATATAACAGAATTGTAATCTGAGTATAACAGAATTCTAATCTGAGTATAACAGAATTCTAATCTAAGTATAACAGAATTATAATCTGAGTATAATTGAATTAGAATCTAAGTATAACAGAATTATAATTTGGGTATA